AGGATGTGGCCGCGGCTTAGCTGCAAACGTGTCCTGTTGCTTTTGTCAGCTCCGGTTACAAAGTCAGGAGCTGATTTGGGGAAAAAGGAACAAACAAGCAAACAAAATGTTTGCAGCCTTGCGTTCCTCCGCGGCTGTCACATGGGCTCGGCCTCCTTGCTTAACGCCTTAAAAAATAGAATGAATTAGCGGTGGCTTAAATTACTTGCCCGCCCCCCTCCTGCCACCCCGGCGCTGACAGGGGCAGGACAGAGCACCCTGTCCCCAGGTGTGCGGGGATTTCGGGTTCCTCCTTCCCCGCCTCCTGTCACCCCGCTGAGCTATTCCTGGCTCTGCGGCCGGATCCTCTCTGACCTTGGGCACGGCTGGGGTGCACTCGCACGGCGGGCGGGGCGACGCGTGCCCGGCTCTGCCGGCTGTGCTCACGCCCGGGGACAGGCGACAGGCTCCAGCACACGCTTAAAATAGCCGTTTCTCCGAAGGTCTGGCACATGGAGAGAAGAGGGGGGGTCTCCAGGAAGCCGAGCGTTTCTGGTCTGCCTGCGAAGGGCAGCTGGCCACGAGAGCTTGGCAGGGTTTGGGAACGGGCTGCCGCATCCCCGGCGAGAGTCCAGACGTCCCAGGGAGCTCCTTGTGCCCGCTGCCCGCCAGCGCTGCTGGGCACAGGGAGGTGGTGGGAGCAGGGTCCCACAGGAGCGGGTGGGTTGCTTGGAGGGCATCTCCCTGCTGCCGTGGCGCTCGGCACGGCGCTGGGTTTGTTTGCGAAGTCCGTGTCTGAGTGTCCCCTCTGCCGCCCAGGCGCCAAGCACAAGTCGATGCTGGAAGGTCACAGCACCCAGATGCGGCGAGGCCGAGGGAAGCTCCTCTCCCGGGCAGGGCACAAGTCCAAGCGGATCGGCAACAAGGGCAGCATCAACATCCAGAACAAGGCGTTTCACTGCCAAGTGTGCGAGATCTACGTGAACTCGGAGACCCAGCTCAAACAGGTGACGATGCCCGGCACGTGCCTGTCCCTGGGGAACGCAGGGGCACCAGGCGTGGGCATGCAGACCCCTCTGCTCAGGGGGTGGGTACCTGAGGGTCCCTCAAGGAGGTGTCCCCAGGCTGTGCGGTGCTGTGGGTCTGCCCTTGCTGTCCTGGCTCCGGATGATGGGCTGTTTCCCTCTCGCAGCACATGAGCAGCCGGCGGCCCGCCCAAGCCCAAGTACAGCCCCTATAACAAGCTGCAGAAGAACGCTGCCCTCGCAGTGAGTATTCTCAAGGTATCTGTCTCCCAGCAATTCACCTACCCCCTTCGCGCTCCCAAATGTCCTTCCCCGTGTCAGCCGTCTCTTGCAACGCAGCGGCTGCGTTTCCTGAAGCCTCTCACATCTGCCCCACTCCCCTTGGGGGCGGGGCAGGCTGTAGTGCTGAGGGGAGCTTTGCATCCCTGTTCGTGGGAAGAAAGCATGGGAATGACTTGGGAATCCTCTGGCAGCAGCAGTTTGCGGTTTTTCCACCTGTTTCGCGGCTCTTGAACCGGGGAGCGGTGATGGTTGGGTGCTTGGGGCGGGCGCGCTGGGTTAATCCAAGCCGAGGCGGTTGTGTTTGCAGAGACATGAGCATCCCTGGGAGTTTGGCAGCAAATGTCATCCCAGGGCATCAGAGGAAAGCACTGATGCAGGGCACCACAGGCATGGCGAGAGCCAGGGCAGGGCTCTGGGTTGGTGGGGGGGCTGAGGACCTTCCCTGAGGGGGTCATCGCGTCTGGGCATCCCTGTGTGCTCTGACCCGGGAGCGGCTGAGCCGAGGGACCGGGTCTGTGGG